GTCCTTTCAGTTTTAAGCTCCACATGAGACTTTTAGATAATCACCACCTTTTTTAATTATCTTACACTTATCATGGAGAGTGATTTCTGAAGCAGTGGGTAACCTGTCTCTCTTTCCAGCTTGGAATGACAGATCGGGTCACCTGCCAACCAACGAGAAGTGTTGAAGGAGACGGACTGAAACCGGTTTTGGGATGTCACTTCATGATCTACCTACCTGATTAATTGTACAGGACACTACCCCTCATCTTTTGCAGTGGTAAAGAACCTGTATTCCTGTCATCTGGACTGACTATTCAAGGCTATAGACTCTGTGAAGAACTAGTCATTGGGTTGTCACTAAACACCTGTGACCCCCCCACATCAGCAACGGCTACAATTTCTACAAGACAGTGTCAACTTCAACCAGACACCCCAGTATCACTGTATATATTAGAGTTGAATTCAAATGTCTTTTTTCCATTTCATTTTTCATTTTTCTTTCAAGTAGGATACACCTTCTTATTTCAATGTTTTATCTTTGCATTAATAAATAATAAAGTGATTATCTTTGTGAATTATTATTTCTTTTTCTATTCATTAATTTTCCCAAGGAGGAGCCAGCCTTGTTAATACTGTCTGAAGTTGTTACAGGGCTCAGTAAGCCTTCACAAGTGGCGATCTTGCCAGGATCAACTCGACTGAATAAAGATTCGACTCCATCTCGAATCTATCATTGAAACTTCAATGCCGCATACCACAGACGGTTACCACCAGCCATGAGTAATCATTCTCTATGGCAGGACTACAGTACAGGTATTTTAAAGATTTGGTGATTGTTATAGTCTCAATTTATTGTAAGTCAAGTCAGACAGGATATACTAGCTAATTCTGTCACCTTTATTTTTGAGCTTGAAACGATTTGGAGGAATAGACTCTAGGGATCCGAGATTTTCCAGTGACAAGTTGTTTCATTGAGCTGTTTATTATATCAAGGGAACTGTTGTAAGACACACTTGATTTTTTTGTTGGTGAGAAGATTGGATGGTCAAGGGACCCCATTGTACTTACTGTTTTCTCGGAGCCGGCATAGAACCCTCCGTTTTCATTCACACACTGTTTATTCGAAGCAGGGATCGAACCCTCCAATTTATTTACAGTTTGAGCGGAACAGGAATTGAACCCTCCGTTTTCTTTGATATATCCGTTTCATTTTCCCCTTGTAGTTTGTTATTCTTGCATGTATGAAGGAATACCAGTTTTGGATGAACACTGGGAGTAAGTTAGGAATAACGGGGAAGAATTTAGAAGCTTTCATTAGTGCTAAGATCCAAGAAAGAGAAAGAAAGGAGAGAGAGAACCTTGAAAGAGAAGAGAAAAAGGAGAGAGATCGAATTGAAAGAGAAAACCAAGATAGACAGTTAGAAAGGGAGAGGGATGACAAAAAGGAGCGTGATAGACTTGATCGTGAGGAGAGGGCTAAAGTACGTGAGGAACAAGTAAAATTAAGAGAACTTGAAGAAAGAGCAAAGGATAGAGAAGTTGAGGAAAGAGCTAGAGAACGTGAGGAAGAGCTAGAGAACGTGAGGAAGAGCTAGAGAACATGAGTTAAGAGAAAGAGAAAATGATCATGAGCTCGAAAAATCTCGCCTTGAATTAGAGAATAAAAAGTTAACTTTTACACAACAATAATTAGAGGAAGGAGTAATTGAACAACGTGCAGTCAGTGCACATATTCCAACACCTAATTTCCTCCCTTCACAGAGAGTGAAGACATTACTTCATACATTATCAGGTTTGAAAATACCGCTACCCTCTGTGAATGGCCTGCTGACACCTGGGCTACCAGGTTAGGAATGTTATTTTCTGGTACAGCTTTGAATATCTATGCAACTTTGTCGCAGGATATCATATGTAATTATAACCTACTGAAGAAGGCAATCCTTAAAGCATACCAAAAAACCACAAATTCTTACAGGAAAGATTTCAGGTATGCCACCTTACAGCCTGGCCAAAACTTTCAGCAGTTACAGGTAACACTCTTTCTTTTGTTCGACTTTTGGATAGATAGTTCAGGAATTGATCACAGTTATGAATCTCTTAGAGACTTCATGGTTGCTGACCAGTTCCTGACAGCTCTTCCTCACCAGATACGAACATTCATTAGAGAACGTAACCTGATTAAAGCTGATGAAGTTGCTGAGGCCGCTGACTTGTATGCTGAGGCTCACAATTCCTATAAAGACCTAAAGGGATCGAACCTTAAGGGCAATGGTTCACTTGAACCAAAGATTAAGAAGCCTACAGTAGAAAAAAAGTCACCAGCCACTATACCAACATGTCTTCGATGTGGTGGTATCGGACATAAACGTCCAGATTGTCCTTCCAAGAAAATAGAGAAAGTTGGTAGATGTTTTGTTGACGGTAATGACCAAGCACCCTTCTGTTCAGGAGCAGTTAATGGTATAAAAGTCTCAGACATATTACGTGACACTGAATGTACATGCATCGTAATTTCGGAC